AGAACTCACTTTTTGGCCTACTATGCAAGGCCCGATTTGCCTAATAAGCCAAGTTTTCCTGAATTAATTGTTTTTCGACTACCTAACCTACCTAACCTAACCTAACCTAACTTTTTCGGCTACCTACCCTAACCTAATCTATAGAGATAGGTTAGGTTAGGTTAGGTAGGGTTGGTTAGGTTCGGTCATATATCTACGTTAATTTTAACTCCAATAAAAAAAAATTGACCTCATACTTAATTAAATGGGTAGCTTTATCATTTCATAAGAAAAAAATTAGAGAAAATATATTAATTAAGGAAAACTTGGCTTATTAGGCAAATCGGGCCTTGCATAGTAAGCTGAGAACTGCGTTCTGGCTACTAGGTACGACATATATATATATATATATATATATATATATATATATATATATATATGTCGTACCTAGTAGCCAGAACTCACTTCTCAGCCTACTATTCAAGGCCCGATTTGCCTAATAAGCCAAGTTTTCCTGAATTAATATATTTACTATAATTTTTTTCTTATGAAATGATAAAGCAACCCTTTTCTCTATGTATGAGGTCAATTTTTTTTTATTGGAGTTAAAATTAACGTAGATATATGACCGAACCTAACCAACCCTACCTAACCTAACCTAACCTATATTTATAGGTAAGGTCAGGTTAGGTAGCCAAAAAAAGCTAGGTTAGGTTAGGTTAGGTAGGTTAGGTAGACGAAAAAACATTAATTCATGAAAACTTGGCTTATTAGGCAAATCGGGCCTTGAATAGTAGGCTGAGAAGTGCGTTCTGGCTATTAGGTACGACATATATATATATATATATATATATATATATATATATATATATATCTGGTAAATGAGTAAGCGAGTGGCTATCTGTGCGTGGATGAGTAAGATGATGTTCTCACCTAATGGTGCTTGCAGGGGTTGAGCTTTGGCTCTTTGGTCCCGCCTCTCAACCGTCAATCTACTGGTGTACAGATTCTTGAGCCTACTGGGCTCTTTCATATATACATTTGAAATTGTGTATGGAGATATTGTGTGTTATTGTGGATGAGGATCATTGAGTGCTTGTGGGGTGCGTGGATGAGTGAGTGCGTGGGATGAGTGGGTGGGGTGCGAGAGTGTGTGTGGAGGTGGTGCGTGAGTGAGTGTGAGAGGACCAACTCCGGCAGAGGGCTCCACCCGGGACAACGTGCTGGGGTGAGGACCCCAGCGGAACTTTCCACCTGCCTCCCCTCTCTCTTACTCTCGCTCGCACGCGCGCGCACACGCGCACACACACACACACACACACACACACACACACACACACACACACACACACACACACACACACACACACACACAACAGTATTACAATTTTGACCTATAACAAAATAGTACATTCATATTACTTGAAAGATACATAAACTGTGGTGAGAGTGCCTGCCACTGCCTTGACCACTACGTGTGTAGAATAATAAACCCCACAATGAGTTAGGAAAACAGTATATGTCAAACATAGATAGTGTTCTTGAAAGATTCCCCCACTTTGCACCCGAAAGATAACGTAACTTATTGGACAGCACGATAACGTAAATTTCAGGAGTTGACAAATGTTAATCTTCTTGTTTGATAAACTGTTCACTTGAGACAGTTAAGCAAGTCCCAGCTGTGTCTGGGTACAAGTGACAGGATGAACAACCCAGCGGGTTTTCTTCCTATTGGGAAGTGTTGTACATGCTGCTATGGCGGTATGTTCACTCACATGATGAGTGGCGCTGCTCAATACTGTCACTATGGCGGTATGTCCACTCACAGGATGAGTGGCGCTGCTCAATACTGGCACTATGGCGGTGGGTCCACTCACAGGATGAGTGGCGCTGCTCAATACTGTCACTATGGCGGTGTGTCCACTCACATGATGAGTGGCGCTGCTCAATACTGTCACTATGGCGGTGTGTCCACTCACAGGATGAGTGGCGCTGCTCAATACTGTCACTATGGCGGTGTGTCCACTCACAGGATGAGTGGCGCTGCTCAATACTGTCACTATGGCGGTGTGTCCACTCACAGGATGAGTGGCGCTGCTCAATACTGTCACTATGGCGGTGTGTCTACTCACAGGATGAGTGGCGCTGCTCAATACTGTCACTATGGCGGTGTGTCCACTCACAGGATGAGTGGCGCTGCTCAATAAATTCGGCTCTCGGGCCAAAATTTCAATTGACCACTATGTATTGTAAAGTCAAAAAATTAAATAATAACTAATGTGAACATGACAGAGTCGCGAGTGTGTCACTATACACATTCTGTGAGTAGTAGCTTATTGAGCACCTCACACTCATCCTGTACGTGAGTGCTAGTTTATTGTGAACCCTATATTCATCCTATGAGTAACCCCCCATACTCATCGTGAGAGTGTATTGGTAGTTTATTGTAAACCCCATATTCATCCTATGAGTTGTAGTCTACTGAGGACCCCATACTCATCCTGTACGTGAGTGGTAGCTTATTCACCCCACACTCTGTGGTGCTACATACTCATCCCGACATGGTGCCTTCTTTTGGTAATTTCTTACTTTCTCACGCCTTACTCATCCTATGAGCGGTGGCGTAAATGAATCACAAAGAACACAATCAGAACTCGCTGGACGCTTGACATTAGCTTTTACAATATATCTGCATCCCTTATAACTAATTATAACGACATCTCGTAACTAACGTCAGACACTCCAACTGCTACCAGTGACAACCTATGATCCTATGAAAGTAAGAACAAGGATGAACAAGTGAACAAGTGAACATCTCAAGTGACAGGATGAACAACCCAGCGGGTTTTCTTCCTATTGGGGAGTGTTGTACATGCTGCTATGGCGGTATGTTCACTCACAAGATGAGTGGCGCTGCCCAATAAACTCGCCCCTCGGGGCAAAATTTAAAAAAAAAAATTAATTTAAACGTATGATTACGCATTGGAGTTACGTTATTTTGTCAATACGAGTTGGTGCTGGGCTTTCACCAATATTTTCCTCTATACTAGTTGAGTACACGACTGAGACGTTCATCAAGCAGATCGTCGAGGACGCCGATGGTAGTGAGCCAAGTAGTATGGTGATAGCCTCGTGCAGTAATCTCCGAGTACAACAACTACACACACTCAGTGATGATGCTCCTAAGTGTGTGTGTGTGTGCTTCACCTCAGGTGTATCACTACCAGTCCTATGTCTTACTACACACAGTCTACCAGTCTGCAATAGTATAGTTAATTTATTTATGTATCCAATACTTATACTGTGAGTAGTAGTGGATCCCATACTCAACCTGTGAGTGTTGATGAACCCCCATACTTATCCTGAGTGGTAGTGAACCCCATACTCAACCTGTGAGTGTTGATGAACCCCCATACTTATCCTGAGTGGTAGTGAACCCCATACTCAACCTGTGAGTGTTGATGAACCCCCATACTTATCCTGAGTGGTAGTGAACCCCATACTCATCCTGTGAGTGTTGGTGAGCCCCATACTCATCCTGTGAGTGGTAGTGAACCCCATACTCATCCTGTGAGTGGTAGTGAACCCCATACTCATCCTGTGAGTGGTAGTGAACCCCATACTCAACCTGTGAGTGTTGATGAACCCCCATACTTATCCTGAGTGGTAGTGAACCCCATACTCATCCTGTGAGTGTTGGTGAGCCCCATACTCATCCTGTGAGTAGTAGTGAACCCCATACTCATCCTGTGAGTGGTAGTGGACCACATACTCATCCTGTGAGTGTTGGTGAGCCCCATACTCATCCTGTGAGTGGTAGTGAACCCCATACTCATCCTGCCCGTGTCGGTGAGCCCTCATACTCATCCTGTGAGAGTTGGTGAACCCCATACTCATCCTGTGAGTGTTGATGAACCCCATACTCATCCTGTGAGTGGTAGTGAACCCCATACTGATCCTGTGAGTGGTAGTGAACCCCATACTCATCCCATGAATGTTAGAGAACCCTCCCCCCCCCCCATGCTCTAGTAATAGTGTGCCCAGTACTCATGCTGTGAGTTGAACTAGTGGACCCTATACTCATCCTGTGGGTGGAAGTGAAAAAGATTAGAGGCACATAATGGGTTCAAGAACTGGCCCCCAACAATTCATTTAGCTAAGCAAGTTAAAGTCTTATCAGCAAATTAAATAACAATATAATGTATATCAACAAGAGTTCATATTGTCATGTCAGGCGGCTAAGGAAACCTTTTCCGAGAGCTTCGACCGAGCGCCGTCTAACCTGAACCTTCCGAAGGGTCGGTGAGCGAGGTTACCAGTAAAGGTTGGAATGCTGTGCCAGCCGGACAGTGAAAGCGCCTTTGTGAGTCGCGTGGGTTGTCTTTATCTTGACTGGTAGAGGCAGGGGGAGATTCCACTAGGCTTCGTAAAATGCTGTTGCCTCGTAATTCCCCTCCCCTCCACCCCCTACCTCCCTCCCCCCTCTCTCTCTCACTCTCTCTCTCTGCCTTTGTGTAATACAGGTGCAAAGAAGGTATTTAATACAACAGTAACAGCTGTTGAACAGCTTTTACTGTTCAGGGGCCAGATTAACGAAGCAGTTACGTAAGTACTTACGAACATGTACATCTTTCCTCAATCTTTGACGGCTTTGGTTACATTTATTAAACAGTTTACAAGCATGAAAACTTCTCAATCAACTGTTGTTATTGGTATAAACAGCTACCTGATGCTTCAAGCTCATTAACTATCTAACAATTGTAAACAAAGCCGCCACAGATTGAGAAAAGATGGACAGGTTCGTAAGTACTTTCATAACTGCTTCGTGAATCTGGCCCCGGAACAACGCCCGTCGTCACGCAGAACACAAACGGCGACAGAAGCTTCTACTCAGCCCACCAACGATGATACATGTTAACCAAACGCACGAAAATGCATGATTTAAGTTGGTAATGTTGGAGAAAGCATAAGACCAGAGATGGCGCCTCGGGTCTGGTCATGCTGACCAGCCTCAGACTCACTCGTCCCTGATTGCCATCCGCCTTCCTCAGTGATCCTTCCAGATTATCACGCAGAACAAATAGATGCTGAAATGTTGTCACATTTCGTGTCAACGCATCATTTGCTGTGTTGCTGCTTTGTATTGGCACACGTCCGTTGATACACGTCCGGTGATACACGTCCGTTGATACACGTCCGTTGATACACGTCCGGTGATACACGTCCGGTGATACACGTCCGGTCATACACGTCCGGTGATACACGTCCGGTGATAGCTCGACTCGTAATCTGGTGACTTCTTAACCGACCTGTATACAACAGCTGGTCTCTGATATATATACATATATATATATATATATATATATATATATATATATATATATATATATATATATATATATATATATATATATATATATATATATATATAACTGAAAACTCACACCCTAGAAGTAACTCGAACCCATACTGCCAGGAGCAACGCAACTGGTAACTACAGGATGCCTTAATCCGCTCGACCATCATGACCATACATAAGGAAGTGATAGCCGAAGCTATTTGAACCACTTCCCCGCCGGCACTCGGATGGTAATCTTGGGCATAGCATTTTATCAAATCACCTCATTCTTTGGGGCACACATGAAGAACACAAATGCGAATAAGCCTGAATGGTCCCCAGGACGCCTTAAGCGGATTAAGGCGTCCTGTAATACCAGTTGCGTTGCTCCGGGGAGTATGGGTTCGAGTCACTTCTGGGGTGTGAGTTTTCAGTTGCATATAGTCCTGGGGACCATTCAGGCTTGTTCGCATATATATATATATATATATATATATATATATATATATATATATATATATATATATATATATATATATATACACAATATGTATATGCAACCCACAACAAGCTGACTTAACTCCTGGGTTCCTACTTACTACAAGGTGAACAGGTGCATTAGATGATAGGAAATGCGCCCAACTATTTATGTCCCGCCCGGGATTCGAGCCAGGAATTCTCGAGTGTGAGTCGAGAACGAAGGCGACTGTACTACCGGGACCCCTAAATAAATACTTATGATATGTTTAGAATTTAAAACAATATACACAGAGATATTGAGGCCATTACAGTGACATTGTAATGGCCAGTATAACGGAGTAGAATAGTACTCTATAGTATAGACAAGTAATAACAACCATTGTCTAGGCGACATCACCGTGACATCACCTGTGCAACATCACCCTGACATCACCTGTGCAACATCACCGTGACATCACCTGTGCAACATCACCGTGACATCACCTGTGCAACATCACCGTGACATCACATGTGCAACATCACCGTGACATCACCTGTGCAACATCACCGTGACATCACCTGTGCAACATCACCGTGACATCACCTGTGCAACATCACCGTGACATCACCTGTGCAACATCACCGTGACAAAGTAACTGAGGAAAGAAGGATAGAAACACAAACCAGTGAATCTGTACGATGGTACAACATGGTTGCAGCTGGCAATCCCAATCATTATGGCCGAAGAGGAGGACGCGGGAGAGAATCAGTAATAGCGAGAATCCGTCTTGGATACAAATATCCATGGAGATTCGGAATGGAAACAACAGTTGAGCAGCGGAGTTGCAGAATCTGTGGTGAGAGTGAAGGACACCGCCTTGAACACTACCTGAGAGACTGTGGACATCTAAGAGCCATTAGAAATATGTGTAGAATAATAAATGATGATTTCCTAACCCACACTGAGTTAGGAAAACACTATTTGTCATATATAGATACTGTTTTTAAAAGATTCTCCCCATTTTGCACCCGCACGATAACGTAAGCTTTTGAGGGTTGACGAATGTCAACCCATCTAATAATACTTCTTTATTTTATTGTATTTATTTATATATAGAAGAGTTCTTACATTCTTGTAAAAATGTTAGTGGAGCCAAGTATAATATATCCACTAGTACACCATAGCGTTTTGGGCAGGTCCTTAGTCCAATGTCCCCGGAATACGACCCGCCAAATCATTAAACAACGAGGTACCCAGTTACTGCTAGGTGAACAGAGGCTATAGTTAAGGATTGGCACCAACTAAATCCTCCCCGGCCAGGATAAGAACCCAGGCCAAGGCGCTGGCGAAACGCCAGGCGAGTGTGTTACCACTTCGCCACGGGGGACTGCTTAAAATACACGTCCGTAAATACAATAAAATTACTTCTTGTTTGAGGAGCTGTTCGCTTGAGACAGTTAAGCAAGTCCCAGCTGTGTCTGGGTACAAGTGACAGGATGAACAACCCAGCGGGTTTTCTTCCTATTGGGGAGTGTTGTACATGCTGCTATGGCGGTGTGTCGACTCACAGGATGAGTGGCGCTGCTCAATACTGTCACTATGGCGGTGTCCACTCACAGGATGAGTGACGCTGCCCAATACTGTCACTATGGCGGTGTGTTCACTCACAGGATGAGTGGCGCTGCCCAATACTGTCACTATGGCGGTGTGTTCACTCACAGGATGAATGACGCTGCCCAATATGTCACTATGGCGATATGTCCACTCACAGGATGAGTGGTGCTCCCCAATACTGTCACTATGGCGGTGTGCCCACTCACAGGATGAGTGGCGTTGCCCAATACTGTCACAATGGCGGTGTGGTCACTCACAGAATGAGTGACGCTGCCTAATACTGTCACTATGGCGGTGTGTTCACTCACAGGATGAGTGACGCTGACGCAACCCGTCCTCGACTCAAGTCCATTACATCCAGCAGTCAACCCCACAGACGCATTCATAAATTTTTACATGCTGTTCATTCAAAACAGGAATTTTTTCAAATATAAATTAATATTATAAAATATTAGCATATTGTACATATATGGGCATAGGTTAGGTTAGGTGTTTAGGTTCTGTTGGCGATTATTTGTATTTGTAGTACGTGGGTGAAGCATTTATAGCGTTGTGGTTCGATCAAAATTCGTCAGTGAAGAACTTGTTCCGGAAGTGTTCGAACGTCATCAGTTGTGAGTCGTGTGTAAACCGTTCTCGTTCATAAACAGGGGGTTTGGCGGGTGGATGGAATCACTTTTGGGTCTTTGTTTGGAGGACGGGTTGCGCTGACGTCCACTTCCCCCACCACGCCGAGTACTGTGCAGTCACTTGCTAGACCCAGAGAAGATTGGAGGTTTAAATGGATATGAATGATCGAGGTTGATGACTTGCATCCTGCAGACCCCCCCCCCCACCACCCATCCACCCAACACGGTCAAGTGGCAATGATGCAACCCATTACCCTAGCTACCAGCCCCCAATACCCTCCCACCAACCAGCCTTCCCCTTCGTATAATGCAACTCCCCCGCACACCTGTCCCACCTCCCCACACCCCACCCCGCCACACCCCACCTTCCCACGCCTGCCAACCTTGCCTCTGATCTACTGGTCTGTGCCTGGAGTCCTCTTGCTGCTGTCATATCCGGCCATTCACCAGCCCGACCCACAACCAAGGTGACGAGGTTTGTACGTGGTGTTTGTTTATCACTGATAGGACCACGTGGGTTTGTTTATCACTGATAGGACCACGTGGGTTTGTTTATCACTGACAGGACCACGTGGGTTTGTTTATCACTGATATGACCACGTGGGTTTGTTTAGTTTGTTGATGAACAGATATACCCAATTATGTTTCTTGGATTAATACTGACGGAACCATACTCTTTAATACTTACGGAACCATACACTTAAATTAATACTGACGGAACAATACACCGTGTGACGTTTGTTTACCACCTGTGGGAGGCCACGTGACGTTTGTTTACCACCTGCGGGAGGCCACGTGACGTTTGTTTACCACCAGCGGGAGGCCACGTGACGTTTGTTTACCACCAGCGGGAGGCCACGTGACGTTTGTTTACCACCAGCGGGAGGCCACGTGACGTTTGTTTACCACCTGCGGGAGGCCACGTGCGGGTGACGCAACAGGTGGGTCTGGCCGCCCCGGCCCACATAGCTGGCAACAACGGCACCTTTGGCAGCTGGAATAAGTGAGAGTTAGCTGAATTAATGGGACCATCCTGGCTGCCATTTTCACTGGTTCATCTCAGTACACTCCCACGTAAGGTAGGGTGTACGTCCCATGACAGGTGTACGTCCCATGGCAGGTGTACGTCCCATGACAGGTGTACGCCCCATGACAGGTGTACACTCCATGACAGGTGTACACTCCATGACAGGTGTACACTCCATGACAGGTGTACACACCATGACAGGTGTACACTCCATGGCAGGTGTACACCTCATGGCAGGTGTACACCCCATGACAGGTGTACACACCATGACAGGTGTACGCCCCATGACAGGTGTACACTCCATGACAGGTGTACACTCCATGACAGGTGTACACTCCATGACAGGTGTACACACCATGACAGGTGTACACTCCATGGCAGGTGTACACCTCATGACAGGTGTACACTCCATGACAGGTGTACACACCATGACAGGTGTACACTCCATGACAGGTGTACACCCCATGACGTACTCCCATTTGAAGTATATAATCATATACTATGTATCCAATGCTAAATATTAAGATTGTTTAACCTATAATAACGCATTTTCTACTCTCTCCCACAGTAAGCGTTACCATCTTCTATGACAAATATATAGGTTTCTACTGTCTCCCATAGAGCATATTCATGTTCAGGCTCTTTGTGTCTCCCACAGTAAGTGCATGGATTTATATTATCATACCTAGTATGACTGTAGGTATAATAATTATCTATGTATTCAGTTTCCGTTTTCTTCTAAACATTGTTTAAATATCCCTACTTTTTTACAATGTAAATGTTCCTATTCTTTCTCATGTATATACGGGACGTTACGTAGTGATAGGACATTGAGACACACAGTCAATGAAATATACGTAGCTGTCACGGCTGCCAGGAAAATGATAGATTGGTTTAAAAGAACTCCTCAAACAAGAGATGCCAGACCAATGATAATACTTTTTAAGACACTGAAGCTCTCTAGGGAGGAGTATTGTTGTCCACAAACAGCCCACATTCGAAGCTGGAGAAATTGTTGACCTGGAGAATTTGCACTAGAAGTCTTTTATTGCCAAATCCATTCATTAAATCATTTAAATTGTTGGAACCGCTTATGATTTCTAAAGATATAATTCTGATAGCACAGGATAGAGAGTTTTAGTTAGTTTCGTTCATTTATTATGTACCCCATACCCATCTTGTGGGCGGTAGTGGAAAGGGTTACAGAGGCACATAATGGGCTCAGGGACTGAACCCCATAATTCATTTACCTAAGCAAGTTACCATTCCCCCTCCCCTTCCTGTCTACTAGCTCACCACGTTCCTGTCTACTAGCTGACCACCTATTGTTATCGGAAGTCCTGTCCTTTCCAGTCCCTCTCCCCCCTTCCCACCTGTCTCCCCCTCACCACCTCCCCCCCCCCCAGTGACGGGGGTATCGAGGAAATACATGCAGACTTGGTTATGCAAGCCCCTTGGGATACGCTGCCAGCAGACTTGAAGATTAAAATAGAATCAGACTAATCCCCATCTGCTACGCACCACTGCACAGATGAATATAGAAGCAAACTCAAGTGTCTGGCACCTTCACATACTTCACACACGGATCACTAGAACACCAGAAACAAGAATCCGGAACTGCAATTAAGACAGGAAATTCTGTAGTTAGTTGGAGATTCAAATAGATGTTCAACTTTACAGAGATGCTAGCCATTCAAAAGGCTTTGGAACATGCTCCAGCTGAACACCGACAACATGTTATCATACATACAGGTTCGAGAATTCCAATGGAAACCTTGCAACAAGTACACATACGTGACAACATCCATCTGATCACAAATGTCATAGCATTATTGCAGACACTCAAACGTTAAGGTCGTCAGATACTGATCAACTGAGTGCCAAGTCACGTAGGAATACTCGGGAATGACATTGCAGATGAACCTGCAAAACTTTCAACAAAGAGAAGAAATATAGACATTTGCATACCACAGAGTGTATCACAGAGTAGGCAAATAATTAGAGACAGAGCAATGCAGAAGATGTACAGTGACCACAGCACAGCAGCTGTAACCCCAGGATCTGCGGGTTGGTACAAGAACTCAACCAACTTACTTTGATGAAAGGGAGCACTAGAAAAAGAGAAGTGTACTTAAATCGCATCAGGCTTGGACAATCATTTTTTTTCTTCCACAGACCCATGTGCATGAGAAATGGGCTTACGGGTTCCAGAAGATGAGAGGAAATGTCATCACTGTTGCAGTGATGACATTTCCCAAGCCAGGCAGAGGCTTGGGGTCCGCGCAGGAATATCCAGAAAAAAAACTCCCCTAACTGCCTCTCTCCTCATTATCTCCGTTTCCTCACTGCCTCTCTACCCTCATCACCATAAGGGGAAGGCAACTACAGTAATCAGAATTAAAGAAAGATTTGAGAGTAGATCAAACTGACACTCTCGCCGGAGGAACACATAAACAGAATAACTCTGGCAGCATGTGCGACGCTAGCAAATATAAAAACATAGTTTAGAAACCTGAATCAGGACCTCTTCAAGACCTCCTACACAATATTTGTTAGACCCATACTGCAATATGCGTCACTGTCATGGAACCTCACACTTTGTGAAGCATAAGACCAAAATCGAAAAAAATACAGGTTTGTAGCAATATTGGTGCCCGAGCTGAGAGGGCTTAGTTATGAAGATAGGCTAATGAAACTAGATCTCACAACCCTAGAGGACAGAAGGAACAGAGGGGATATGATCACAGCATACAAGATACTGAGGGAAATAGACAAGGTGGACAAAAATATATTCTTAATGTTGAGAGAAAATAGGACAAGAAACACAAGTAGACGCTGAAAACACGAATGAACCAAAGGCATGTAAGGAAATATTCGCACCCTGTACGGCTGGTCAATGAATGCACTGAGAGACGAAGTTCTGGGAGCCATCTACAACTTAAGGCCAGATTCGACAAAGGATTTCAATGTCGGAATATTTAAATTATAACGCAACAGGTACAACAAGGCTAGTGAGCGGAGCAAAAGAGCTAGACCTCACTCACCTCTAGTCACTGATAAGTAAGTACTGATAGGTAAGTGCCTCTCTAGCCACACTACTTCATCCCATCATTCCCGCTCTCCCCTCATCATATCTCTCCTATCATTACCTCTCACCACCCTCATTACATATAAATATTTTAATTTTGCCCCGAGGGGCGAGTTTATTGGGCAGCGCCACTCATCCTGTGAGTGGACACACCGCCATAGTGACAGTACTGGGCAGGGCCACTCATCCTGTGAGTGGACACACCGCCATAGTGACAGTACTGGGCAGCGCCACTCATCCTGTGAGTGGACACACCGCCATAGTGACAGTATTGGGCAGCGCCACTCATCCTGTGAGTGGACACACCGCCATAGTGAGAGTATTGGGCAGCGCCACTCATCCTGTGAGTGGACACACCGCCATAGTGACAGTATTGGGCAGCGTCACTCATCCTGTGAGTGGACACACCGCCATAGTGACAGTATTGGGCAGCGCCACTCATCCTGTGAGTGGACACACCGCCATAGTGACAGTATTGGGCAGCGCCACTCATCCTGTGAGTGGACACACCGCCATAGTGACAGTACTGGGCAGCGCCACTCATCCTGTGAGTGGACACACCGCCATAGTGACAGTATTGGGCAGCGCCACTCATCCTGTGAGTGGACACACCACCATAGCAGCATGTACAACACTCCCCAATAGGAAGAAAACCCGCTGGGTTGTTCATCCTGTCACTTGTACCCAGACACAGCTGGGACTTGCTTAACTGTCTCAGGTGAACAGCTCCTCAAACAAAAAGATTACCATTTGTCAACCCTTAAAATCTTATCTTGCGGGTGCAAAATGAGTGGATCTTTTAAGAACAGTATCTATTTGATAAATAGTGTTTTCCTAACTCAAACAATGTGGGATTTATTATTCTGCACATATTACTAAAGTCTCTCAGATGTTCCCATTCTCGTAGATAGTGGTATAGGCGTTTTTTTTTATTATTATTATTTTCTACCACAGACGTGGCCACACATTTACAATGCTAACCAGCAACCAGCATATATACATTTTCTTCTGTCCTCCATGGACAGGGTCAGAGATTTGTTAAACATATACTTCAGGGATTTATCGAATTTAGTGCTTTTAAAATGCTAAGCTAACCTACATACGGAAATACATAGATACACAGAGTTACGTATGCCCGACATAAAGTGTTAGATGTGTCTTTTACATAGTGTCATTAATGTGCATTTACAAAGTTGAAATGTAATTCTGATCAGCTTCCACATATACTTTATACACATGCATACATATACACACACACACACACACACACACACACACACACACACACACACCACACACACACACACACACACACACACACACATATATATAATATATATATATATATATATATATATATATATATATATATATATATATATATATATATATATATATATATATATATATATATATATATATATTAGTATATTTTGGTAGCAGTCTTTCCTGTAGACATATATTATTAAATATGACCGAAAAAGTAAGATTAATAATTCTAACACGAATTTTCTCAATCTTTCGTACATTACGCTTCACTGTTGGAGGTAAATCAAAAATCACTTCTCCAAAATTCATTTTTATTTCTAGTCTGACGCGACACGGGCGCGTTTCGTAAAACTTATTACATTTTCAAAGACTTCACAAATACACAACTGATTAGAACTTACGTCTCTCTGATATTATATCTACATTTGAGTGAGGTGGGAAGGATGATGTGGCATTAACACAAGACAGAACAGGGGATATTAATAGGGTATTAAAAGTATCAACACAAGACAGAACAGAAACAATGGGTTTTGAATAGAAGTGTTTGTAGAAAGCCTATTGGTCCATATTTCTTGATGCTTCTATATTGGAGCGGAGTCTTGAGGTGGGTAGAATATAGTTGTGCAATCAACAGCCAATTATTGCACAACTATATTCTACCCACCTCAAGACTCCGCTCCAATATAGAAGCATCAAGAAATATGGACCAATAGGCTTTCTACAAACACTTCTATTCAATACCCATTGTTTCTGTTCTGTCTTGTGTTGATACTTTTAATACCCTATTAATATCCCCTGTTCTGTCTTGTGTTAATGCCACATCATCCTTCCCACCTCACTCAAATGTAGATATAATATCAGAGAGACGTAAGTTCTAATCAGTTGTGTATTTGTGAAGTCTTTGAAAATGTAATAAGTTTTACGAAACGCGCCCGTGTCGCGTCAGACTAGAAATAAAAATGAATTTTGGAGAAGTGATTTTTGATTTACCTCCAACAGTGAAGCGTAATGTACGAAAGATTGAGAAAATTCGTGTTAGAATTATTAATCTTACTTTTTCGGTCATATTTAATAATATATGTCTACAGGAAAGACTGCTACCAAATATACTAATATATATAT